TTTCAAGGCATCTGCAATTGCTTTTGCCCCTTCATCTAATATTTTGTCTCCCTCAATGTCAAGAATTGTTAGTGTTGTGTTTATTGTCAGAGCACCTCCAATTGCTTTTGCGCCTTAATCGAATACACTATTCCAGGAAATACCACGAGTTGTCAGTGCTATCCTTACTCTCAGAGCAAATTTGCTTTAGTACCCGCATCCGATATACTGTTACGAGAAACATTCAGAATTGTTACTGTTCTGTTCATTTTCGAGGTACCAGCAATTGCTTTTGCCCATTCAGCTGATAATTCGTTTTGCTGAATATCAAGAGTTTTTACAGCTGTGTTTATTCTGAGAGCATCTGCAATTCCTTTTGCCCCTTCATCGGATACACTACTACCGGAAATATCAAGACTTCTTAGTGTTGTGTTTATTCTGAGACCATCTGCAATCGCTTTTGCCCCTTCATCGGAGACACTATTCCAGGAAATATCAAGAGTGGTCAGTGTTACGTTTATCCTGAGAGGTTCTGCAATTGCTGTTGCCCCTGCATCAGATACACTATTCCAGTAAATATCAAGAGTTTTTAGTGTTGTGTTTATTTTCAGAGCATCTGCAATTGCTTCCGCACCTGCCTCCGATATATTGTTACAAGAAATATTGAGAGTTGTTACTGTTCTGTTCATTTTCAGGGCACCTGCAAGTACTTTTGCCCCTTCATCTGACATTTTGTTTTGCTGAATTTCAAGAATTGTTACTGTTGTGTTTATTCTGCGAGCTTCTGCAATTGCTTTTGCACCTACATCCGATATACTGTTCTCAGAAACATTAAGAGTTGTTACTGTTCTGTTGATTTTCAAGGCATCTGCAATTGCAATTGCCCCTTCATCTGATATTTTATTTCGGTCAATAGCAAGGATTGTTAATGTGGTGTTTATCCTGAGAGCATCCGCAATTGCTATTGCCCCTTTATCGGATACACTATTCCAGGAAATATCAAGAGTGGTCAGTGTTGCGTTTATCCTGAGAGCTTCTGCAATTGCTATTGCCCCTGCATCAGATACACTATTCCAGTAAATATCAAGAGTTTTTAGTGTTGTGTTTATTCTCAGAGCATCTGCAATTGCTTCTGCACCCGCCTCCGATATATTGTTAAAAGAAACATTGAGAGTTGTTACTGTTCTGTTCATTTTCAAGGCATCCGCAAGTACTTTTGCTCCTTCATCTGACATTTCGTGTCGCTGCATATCAAGAGTTGTTACAGTTGTGCTTATTCTGAGAGCATCTGCAATTGCTTTTGCACCTACATCGGATATACTGTTCTCAGAAACATTAAGAGTTGTTACGGTTGTGTTGATTTTCAGGGCATCTGCGATGGCCGATATATTGTTGTTGGAAACATTACGAGTTGCTACTGTTCTGTTCATTTTGAAGGCATCTACAAGTGGTGTTGTCCCTTCATCTGATATTTTGCTTCGCTGAATATCAAGAGTTGTTACTGCTGTTGGTATTCTCACAGCATCTGCAACTGCTTTTGCACCTACAGTCGATATACTGTTCTTAGAAGCATTAAGACTTGTGACTGTTCTGTTGATTTTCAAGGCATCTGTAATTGCTTTTGCCCATTCATCTGATATTTTGTTTCGCTGAATATCAAGAATTCTTACTGTTGTGTTTATTGTCAGAGCATCTGTAATTGCTTTTGCCCCTTGGTCGGATACACTATTACTGGTAAGATCAAGAGTTGTGAGCGTTGTGTTTATTCTGAGACCATCTGCAATCGCTTTTGCCCCTTCATCGGATACACTGCTACTGGAAATATCAAGACTTCTTAGTGTTGTGTTTATTCTCAAAGCATCTGAAATTGCTTTTGCCCCTTCATCGGATACACTACTACCGGAAATATCAAGACGTCTTAGTGTTGTGTTTATTCTCAAAGCATCTGCAATTGCTTTTACACCTGCATCCGATTTACTGTTAGAGGAAAGATTGAGAGTTGTTACTGTTCTGTTCATTTTCAGGGCACCTGCAATTGCTTTTTGCCCTTCGTGTGATAATCTGTTTTGCAGAATATCTAGAGTTGTGAGTGTTGTGTTTATCGTCAGAGCATCTGCAATTGCTATTGCCCCTTTATCGGATACATTATTCCAGGAAATATCAAGAGTCGTCAGTGTTACGTTTATCCTGAGAGCTTCTGCAATTGCTATTGCCCCTGCATCAGATACACTATTCCAGTAAATATCAAGAGTTTTTAGTGTTGTGTTTATTTTCAGAGCATCTGCAATTGCTTCCGCACCTGCCTCCGATATATTGTTACAAGAAATATTGAGAGTTGTTACTGTTCTGTTCATTTTCAGGGCACCTGCAAGTACTTTTGCCCCTTCATCTGACATTTTGTTTTGCTGAATTTCAAGAATTGTTACTGTTGTGTTTATTCTGCGAGCTTCTGCAATTGCTTTTGCACCTACATCCGATATACTGTTCTCAGAAACATTAAGAGTTGTTACTGTTCTGTTGATTTTCAAGGCATCTGCAATTGCTATTGCCCCTGCATCGGATACATTATTCCAGGAAATATCAAGAGTGGTCAGTGTTGCGTTTATCCTGAGAGCATCTGCAATTGCCATTGCCCCTGCACCGGATACACGATTCCAGGAAATATCAAGAGTGGTCAGTGTTGCGTTTATTCTCAGAGCATCTGCAATTGCTTTTGCACCCGCAACAGATATATTGTTGTCAAAAACGTCAAGAATAGCTACTGCTTCGTTCATTTTCAAGGCATCTGCAATTGCTATGGCCCCTTCATCTGATATTTTGTTACTTTGAATATTAAGAGTTGTTAGTGTTTTGTTGATTTTCAGAGTATCGGCAATTGCTTTTGCACCCACGTCCGATATATTGTTGTGATCAACATTGACAATTGTTAGTGTTACGTTGGTTTTCAAGGCATCGGCAATTACTGTTGCGCCTTCATCGGATACACTATTCCAGGAAATATCAATACTTGTTAGTGTTTTGTTTATTCGCATAGCATCTGCAATTATTGTATTCGTTTTCATGGGATGTGCAACTGATTGTTTTTTTTCAGTTAATTCAGACATCTCTGGAATGAAAAGTAGAAACATATGCTGTCAGTTAACTTTGGTTTGGTAATAAGTGTCAACGAGGGAGGTGCGAAGAAAAGCACTAATCTAGTCTAAGCACGCATTTTATATGTTTTCGTACAAGCCCTTTTCAATGACGCGGTTTTCGAGCTTTCGAAGTATGCTAGCAGCGGTTCTTCAGAGACCGGATTTCGCTCCTGACATGATTTCAATTCAAAAATGTTGCGGAGTGGCCCGAAAACGCTCTTTTCCGGCGTTGTCCTTTGCGTTTTTAGGCTTTGATCGACTTTTAAAAGGTTTATTATTCAGTCAAACATGGTCGGAACCAGTTCAGAACTGTGCAATATGGTAACTTTTTAATATTAAGTGAAACCAGCCGGTAATGTGAAATTTTTATAAAAGTCGCTTTTCGCTAGATTTTTAAAAGTTTTCCGAAAACAAATATTGCCACTAGACGCATGATCGATCAGCTATAATTTATCAGCAGACAAAAACCAAAGAACACTCAGTTTTGAATTAGCCATATCTTATTGATGTATGTTTTATGGGTTTATATTTGTGATTTGATGTTACATCATTCCGAACGATTTTTCTGTCAAGATTGTAGTTCAGCTATGGCAATGGAAAGGACAAACAGATCGAAATATAAATTGATAATATTAGGTTTTGATGTGGACATTTTTCCATACTCTTCATATGGCGTTATCATTATTAATGACTTAAAGTCAATAAGACCCTTTTTCTTACCTCGAATATCATTACTTGCTGTTCCTACTTCATCATTATATTTTCTCAAATGAACAACGTGTGATCCTCTCTGGTGATCTGATGAATCGCAAACAACGTTTTGATGGTAATGAGCGCTACACACCCACCGAACACAACCTTTCTCAGTTGTCGTGCAGCATAAATTACCATACGAACAAATTTTGTCGGATATTTCTAGGTAGTCCTTCAATTGTTGAAACTGTAAACAATATAATGATAATGATGAGTTTTGGAATAATGAGTGACCATATTGAGCATAGTCCCTATCAATCAGACTCAATACTTTATTGATTTGGTCAAGGCCTTGGTTTATATATTCATTACTGTTTTCTCCTGTTAATAGATGAGGCATTTGAATGGTTTCTAACGAATCAGATATTTGTGATGCGACATTATGTGCGATTGATAATAATATCTTGACAACATAAATCATTGTTCGTAGATAGGATGCGTATATTTGAAAGAATTCTCGTGGTTGACGAATGACATAACCTTCGTGAGATGTGAAATGAAGAACTCTTTCATTTGTTGAAGTTTCACATAAGAAATACAGCCGATATTGTCGTTGTACAATGTCAGCACTTGTAATAATTGGTTTAGATTTACTCATTTCATCCAGCAAAACAATAAACAATCGTGGACTTTTATGTTCACTTAGTTCATACATCTCTGTCAAGAAGCGTTGTATCTGTGTAGCAGGGATATGTTGGGCACTTCGGTCGATGGTAGCGAACAGCTTTTGCAGCTGTTCTACCTTGCTTTTGGAAGCCGATTCAGTCGAAACTCTGGATTTTTCAATCATACTAATTTTATGTTTAATTAGGTTTTGTAATGTAACGTCATAATCTGATTGTAAAATTTTCAATGCCGCATGGTAATACAACAATGCAGTGTCACTATTGTGTTGTATTTCATAGATGCAGCCCATCCCGAAATATGTTTCACGGATTAACCGGTCGTTAACATCTGAGATCTTGAGTACTGTTTGAAAATGGTCTAAAGCCAAAGTGTTTCGTCCTTGTTTCATATACGCAATACCAATGTAATAATTAATCTCACCAGTTAATGGATGTTTTAGTTGTCGAGCTTGTGCACAAACATGAAGAGCTTGTTGAAGTATATTTAATGCATTATCATATTCATTCTGTCCAATATAAATTTGGCCAATTTGATTATATATGCGAATGGTATCCAAATGTTGTTGTGGTGCACATTGAAGTCGCATTTGAAGTGCCTTGTTGGTAAAGTATAATGCGTCATTAAGATTTGTTTGATTTTTATATGCTAAGCCCATGTTGCAATAAACCTTTACCATTGAGGGGTGAACAGATGGTAAATGTTGAGAGCACATCTGTAATGTTTTCTCAAAATATTTCATTGCAATTGAACCATAACCGGTCTTGCAACATATCACACCGATAATTGTGTATGTTTCCATCAATGGTAAATCATTAACCGTAAAATGTTTTGTTTCTAATGCTTTTTCACAGTTGCGTAGTGTAAGTTTATACTCACATTTGTCTAAGTATACACGAGCAATATCAGCGTATATATCGCTTAACGATAGATCAGTAGTTTTTGTACTTATAGAAGAAATAGCATCCGATAATGTGAGGGATAACAAAGTTTGAGTGACTTGTTCGATTGAGTAATGATCGGATAAAAGAGCATCTTGATCAATGTTCCATCTTTTTCTTAGTTTTCTCAAGTTTTCATTTGAAATTTTATCCTTATTCTGCAATGCATAAATGTCACGTGAATATTCAAAATTTTCCAATGCCAGTTTGTATTTTCCCGTATGATAACAAATTGACCCTAAACGATGAAATATTAAACTAGTATCTTGATGATCGCCTGGCAATTCTTTAAATAATAATTGACAATATCTGTCAGCTCGTTCATTTTCATTGATATAAATTAGAAACTTAGCTAATGTTAATAATGTTGGCGAATCACCAATTTCCTTTCTTAAATATTCTTGTAGTTGTGATAGTTGTTGATCCTCATCATCGGTTAAATGTAAATGTACTAGCCATATATTGCACTGAAAAGAATAGAGTTAGTTTACTTGTTAAATAGAATCACAGTAGTAGTCGATATTGTGACCAACATTGCTTTACTTGCTATTGTAAACAGTGTCGATCCCACAATTTCATTAACTCTTGATGAGCTAAGATTCTTGTTAATACAGTCTGAAGATAAGTCCGTTGTTTTCTTATTCCAGCGTCTCAAAAAAATCATTCTGACATTTTCCATTCGTGCAAAGACATGGAGTTCTTTACAATTCTATCATGACAAGGATAAAAAATGGAAGGTTTGCTATTTTGTTCTGTCTTTCTTATATTCTTCACGCCATTACAGATGTATGTCTCCATATCTTATGCCACCGGTTATTTTTAACGAAAAACTCTGAGTTTTGATGCTTTCATTTTTTTAAGGTAAACTTCTCAAGTTATAAAACCCTTATAATAAGAATGCGAGCTCACCACACCCATGATAACCCGAATTTCAAAAACTCAGTCAAAGACTGCTGACTAGCAAGTAAATTTCTTAAGGAAGCATAAAAAAATCACACACAGCATCGACTATAGGATAGTTCCATTGGAAATTGACCGCTTTATGTCGACTTTATCCGGAAAGTATAAAGGTGTCAGAATATCAAGAACTTGGCTAAATTTAACTCATGACAAATACCACGTTGTAAAGGCTTCTAAAACAACCGCAGAATGTCTCTCTGACAAGATCCATTTTGCTGCTCCACTTAAAAGTATCTTTTGATTTCAGACTCAATACAAAGTATATAAAGTTCAAACTTCTATCACTCATTCTACGCATCACGTAAGAGCTTCGGAAAATTTGAAGAAAATGTTCTCTTTCATAGTTTCTTAATATCTATTTTCAAAAACTCGTGGAATCCATATGCTCTTATTCTGAATTTAATGTGTCTCGTTCCGAAGAAATTACACATCGGTTGAAGAAGCGAGAAAGCTGCATACGATGTAGTTCTTCTCAGTACTTCAGACACAAGAGCCAAAGTAGAAATAATCTAATATACAGTTTAAAACATCTAATATGTATGTGTCATGAAACATTCAAACAATCATTTTAAATTGCTCTAGCATAAACTACAGTAAAACGACCTAAAAACGGACCGTTAACTGGCTGTTAACGGCCTGTTTACGATTTAAAGCATCTAATATGTATGTGTCTTTCGTTTTTCTTCCATCATATTTCACACTATGTCGATGCACTCAAATAAGGACAGTTCATTAAGAAAGAAGCGCCTTTGGTCCTATGTCCTATGAAGCTCTTATCAGGTTCTTATAAGCCTCATACGGAATTCATGAAAATATCTTGCGGAATCTTGTTTAAGAATCTGGTAAGAATATGATAACATTCTTTATTAGATCTATAAACACCTTTCTCTTTTGGAACTGTCTACTAAACAAAATGCCACAAAATGTCCTGTTAGATTTCACTGCTTTATGCTCCTTCGACACGAAAAGAATTATTGTAGGTTTCGTTTATTAAAACTGAGAAGAAGCACATCGTGTCCGGCTTTCTCACAAATTACATGTCATCAACCGACATGTAATTTCTTCAGAACCAGATGCTTAAAACGCAGAACATGAGAATATGAGTTTTGAAGAAAATCTTTTACATCTTTGTTCAAAAAAGCCTTAAAATATCAACCAAACGTTGCGAAAGCCTAAAGACTTGCGTTTATAGGTAACGTTACGCCGAGAATCGAACAGACATACTTACATGGGAAAATAAAGTTTGATCATTCTGTGCGGTTTGGATGCACTGATAGAACGTCTCTTAAGATAATATTTGTTATCAGTCTGACAAAGTCCTTCTACTATCAGAATTTCATACTTAAGATTGAGTCGCCTTAAATGGGATAAATTCTTTTGAATTTTTTAAAGCTCTGGCATTCTTGTTCCCTCCAGTAGGCATTGCAATATCTACTAGATGGTACAAGGATGCAAAGTTCTCACAATGTTCAGCTTACCTCAATCATTTTTTTAGCAGACTCGATTCGAAAAACTGTCCCAATTGAGAGAAGAATCTCTCCCTCGTCTTGGATAAAGCTATCTTTTTGAATATCAGCAAATGGTTTCGTCTTGGACGACCTAGTATCAATATTCATAATAAGCACTACTGATTCTTTTTCTGTATTCGATTAAGGCGCAAAAGCAATTGGAGGTGCTCTGACAATAAACACAACACTAACAATTCTTGACATTGAGGGAGACAAAATATTAGATGAAGGGGCAAAAGCAATTGCAGATGCCTTGAAA